TACATTTAAAAATTACAATAGAACATGTAATTTTTTTTGTCCAGCAAGAAAGTGCTTAATTGTTCCACTTTGTTTTAGAGGCTGTGACAGGAAATGTTTTTGTAACCTCCTTTAACTGAGGTGGGTTTATTAATTTAAAATGGCTCCATAAATTTCACTCCCACAGGCTTTCAGACTTTCTGCAGGTTAAGTTGTCCATTGCAGTCACTTTTGAAAAGTGGAAATCAAACTAGAGAAAACTGCGTCAAATAACTAAAATGATAAATGTACTGGAAGCACATGACATAATTTATTTCCAAAAGGAGACTATTAACAAGCTTTATTTAAGTATGTTACTAGTTTAGAACTAGAGTGGCGATTAACTGCTGGTATAATTTAGTAGCAGATGCAGTGAATACTTTATTGCCTGAATCTTTTGAATAAGATTATGTATTTCTCTCAAATATTTGATTCAATTTTATGACAAATTGTTGAAATAGTTGGGCTTCCTTTGTTACAAATAGCACAGCTATTCCCCACTTTAAAATGTGGCTAGACATATGCAGGAAAAGAGACTAAGATGTGTTAGTTGACCCTTCTCTACTACAGAGCATGCATGGTATTATGGATGGCATGGATGGTATGAGCAAGCAAAATCAAGGATCACAGATATATATCAGTAAATTAAAGAAGAGAATGACTAGTTTTACTTTACATGAGAAAGCAGTACGTAGGCAGAAAACAGTCTTTTTTTGGACAAAATACTGATGTCAAAGAGTAGTAGAATACTTTAACAAACCAGCAGTTGACTGCACTGAAGTTTCAGTTTCACAGATTTCAGTGCAGAAAAGTCACTGTGCTTAGAAATGCCCACGTCCGCTGCACGCCCTGGGCAGTGAGAATCCTTTATCACACCCCTCATCCCCACAGTAAAATAAAAATACTTGCAATTTCTTTGCAAGAGTACTCTGTGGATAACTACATTACAGCTCCTTGAAAAATACATTATACCAGGAACCATTCAGGTACTGATGATCCAAACCTGTTGTTATAACTGTAATAAAAATGCATTTATATTACTTTTCTTGTTGCTAGTGCTAGTATTTCGAGTGCACATGAGTAATTTGCAATACTTTTAACTTCTTTATATTAGTTGTGGGAGTTTTCTGTAGTAGAATTCTACCCCTTCCCATTTTAGATCAAATTCTCTGGGAAGCTAAAAATACAAGATATTCATTCAAAGTCTATGGGAATAGGATGCCCATGACTTGCCTACAGCTCTCTCTGAAAATGCTTTTTGTCTCTGGAGGGATCATACTGAGATGGTTGTGAGTAATACATTGTGGGAGTTTTTCCCTTTAACACAGCTGTTGTTTTAATCATGTGCCAAGGATTTAAACCAATTGTGATTTATTAGCTAGGGAAACAGAAACTTGATGTTACACTCCTTGCCAGATTTTGTAGAGATTGGATCTGTATTTTCATCTTTTTTTATTTGTCATGAGGAAAAAATATGTGAACAGTGCTATGCATACATGAAGACACTAGAAGGTAAACACGGTGTAGAAGCTACATGACGTAGTTGAAGGATGTAATGCAGAATATATAGGTTTTAACCTTTCCTCCTTTCTCATTCTTCAGTAATTCTGTGATTAATGTGTGATTCTTGGGGATGGTCCTGGGCAGGGCCACAAGTTGGACTTGATGATCCTTGCGGGTCCCTTCCAACTCAGGATATCTCATAATCTTTCTTTCTGAGATATGTGTAGAAGGAGGACTTCCACACTGGATGCAAATGAAGTATATTTTACAGTCTTCTAGGCCCTTTTCCTTACTGTGACGTGCACTTATGTGCTGCTCATTTAAAACCAGAAAGAAGATTAATCTCCTCAACAGTCCTGGGTAGTTGCTAAGAGAACTCAAGTTCCAACTCCAGAGACCTTGTCTGAGGGTAATTAAGCTGGGAATTTGAGTGTCTGTGCTTATAAAGGAATTAGGCATAACCTTCTGTTCATCTGTGAAATCTGTTAGGAGAGAGTGGGATTTTAAAACCAATCAGTGCAGTTTTATTGGGGCCCTTTAACTTATAATTTGTGTAGATTTTTATTTTAATTCATTCAACATTTGCTTTTACTGGGTTAGCATATGCAAAATGTCCAGATGCCTATTTTTTGTTTTTCCTTTTGCTGTTAAGTAAATTTTCCTCTTGCTAGTGGGGCTATTCTTTTCAAGGTTTATTTTTTCAGCTGCAGTCTTCCCACCTGTCACTTGCTTGGCACCTTAAGGTGTGGATAAAATCTACACTCTAGCCTTCCTTTCATCCTGGCTGAAACATATGAAAATGTTGCTAATTCCACAGAATAGCATCACAGAATGATCTGATGCTTCCAAAGGTAATGGCTAACCTGGTAGCTGCCTTATGCAGCTAGATAAAGAATAGTTTAAGAAATATGTGTGACTTGAGGATTGAAAATAAAAGAATAATTAAGGGAAAAGCACATATTAATAAAAGGATAATAATTATTACTGGGTTTTTTCAAAATGCATGATGAGTCAATGCAACCATCTCAGTTAAGATGTCACACAAAATTCACTTGAATAAAAAGATTACTTTATAGACTTTGTAAAGTTGTCATTAAGCATTCTTAAGCTGACACACCACATATTAGTTTCTTAATTTCTTTGTACAATTTTGTGTTGCTTAAACTAACCATTCCCTACAGCTAATCTTGATATTTATTGTAATATAATATGGCAAATGTTTACACATTTAATTAAAAAAAATTCTGTGTTAATTGCTCTTGTTCTATTAATATGACACAATATATCCTAATATATTCTTTTTTTTGCAGCCAAGTTTTACAGTCTTTATTCTATGAAGTCTATCAAGCACTTTGAAAGAACAGAGGATTGTCTAGACAGCAAATCGTGTATGAAAACACACAAATTATGCTAGCCTTAAAATAAAAATAAATTCATGATAAACTCTTCAAATGGAAAAATATGATAATATGAATGTAGGAACTGTAGCTCTGTTACAAATAAGATGATTTTGTGTACTATTCTACAAATCAAGTGCCTAGTTCCAAACACAGTTTGCATAAGGAAATGTAGATTCAGAGCAAAGGAAAAGGTCATCAGCCACATAAGCACTGCAAAAAATGATGGCTGCCCTGCTGATATTGATTCTACTTGATTTTGGTTTGTACATAGTCACTTAATTTTTTTTTCCTTTGAAGATCTTATGAGCATCAACCAGTCCAGCAAAGGCAGTAAGCATATGTTCAGCTTTGACCTAAGTGGGAACATTTATCTGCTTATTTTTGAGAGACCTAAATGGTGTTCTAAATTGTTTGCTGTTTTCAAAGCCTGCAATCATTCACCATGTGAATTTACCTTTTAACTTCACTAGGAAGAAGATTAGCTACTCTGCCAAAGTCTGTCTTTGCTTTTAAAAAGAGTAATTAAACTTTTCCATCTTTATCTCATGCTATTTCTGAGCTTGGCTTATGAAACAAGGCTGGCGATTGAGGTCAGGTGCTACAATCTTTTGCTGCTGTTTAGTATGACCCAGTAAAAGTGCGTTTTCTTAAAAACATGTCTTTCTTTTGCTGCTTCTTTTCCCTGTAGATACTACATACATGGTTGAGGCTATTTTCTTTCTGACTTGATTTTATTTTCCTTACATGTGAAATGTTTTGAATCAGATATAGAACAGTCTGTATCCCACCAGAGGAACTGAAAATTAAAACGGCCTTTCGTGCTGCGTTGAAGTGGTGTTTCAGTTGCGCCTTTTTACCTCAGTCCTGGAGTGAAGCATCATATTTTTCCAGGATTATGCTGTTCTGTCCAGTAGACCTAAAAAATAATAATTCTATCTCTTTGAGAGAGTGTGTAGTCAGCTGTCCCCCCCTATTAACAAGTTTACAGTTTGGCTACTTATTTTTATGACATCCTAGTTATACAGCATTAGAGAGCAGATGTTCCTAGTGTAATCTGATAGTAATTTTTACTTTATTTTCTAATTTGTAGTCAAGGATAGATGATTTGATTAGACCAAGGCCTCTGTCAAACCTCCACTCTACCTCAAGCTGATCCCTCGACCTGAAAGAAAGAACAAACAGTTCTGCAATATTTTTTTTTGTTGTTGTGTGCTGTACCTTAGTTGTGTTCAGATGAATACAGAGCACCGATGAGATAATTTTGAAGTCTTTTTGTCCTTGCTTAACTTTATCTATGGTTGGAAAATAATTTTATAGCAGATTTAGGCACACATTTTTAAGAGGAGATTAGAATAGAGATTTGTTGACAGTAACAAATTATGGTACACTAAAAAGACTTGTTACTAGTATCGAGATGTAGAGGCTAATAAATGAGGAAGGGGAGCTCTGAAGGAAAAGATGCAAGTAGCAAGCTTGGTTTCAGTATATGATAATTTTAGAATTTGTCATGACTAAAGGTTTTTGCATGTATCAGACATGCAGTTGGAATTAGTGACATTTATCCAAGAGGTAAAATTCATTAATTAACAATGGTTGCTTCTATTTTATGTTGTTGTTTGTTTCTTAACTGCCCCATACTGTAGTAGATAAAATCTTATGTGCATAGACCTTTTAAATTTTATAAACCTCATTTTGTGCAGTCTCTTTGTTAAACATCAACATGCACACAAAACCAGATGGCATTGTATTTCTTAGGCTAAAATCAAGGAATTCAAGGCACTTGTTCATATTAATCTATCCTCCTTCAAGACTGCTTCAATTGTTCCTTATTTTAATCAGCCTACAGAAGTTTTAATTTGTGTTTTTACTTTTAAAGAACTTGTGAATAAGTGTGTGGTGAAGAGATGTTAGTTCACAGTCTGTATGAACACTTTTATGACAGGTTATGATGCTAATCTTACCTTCTTCCCAAGATGTTAGATGCTGTACTAAATACTCAGTGAAGAACAAGGGACTGTTACAATCTCTTTTGTTGTATCTGTGTATAACCATGTCCTTACTTTCCCTCTGGTTTTACAGGGCACAATGACTACATGTGTCCTGCTACTAACCAGTGCACCATCGACAAGAACAGAAGAAAGAGTTGCCAGGCTTGTCGACTGAGAAAATGCTATGAAGTGGGAATGATGAAAGGTGGTATGTACACAGCCATCAACAAATCCTCAGCGTTGTTGTCTGCCTTCCTGTATTTTAACCTCATTGGGCAGCTGTTATGGTTTTTAACTAAAGGAGAAAGCAACTGATTTTATTAAGATGAAGTGTATTAAATCAGAGAGTGATAAATAAAAAATTAAAAGCTCTCCAATACCATGTTATCTTGCCCAAATTTGCATCAGAAATAATTTCATTGACTTCAATTAAATTAGAATTCTTCTCTAATTATTTTAAACTCATTGGTTTTTTGGTCTCCCATAGTAGACTTCAGATTCTGATGAATGTAAGTTAACAGAAGATTTTGCAACATTTTGCAGTTCAGTGTGAAGAGCACTGGTAGGCTCACATTAGTCCCTATTCATTAAAATAAACTTCTGAATATGTAATACTTGTTCTTTGAATCCTGGAAGGGAAAGTAAATTCCTCAGTTCCATTACTGTACGCATATTTTAGGTATGAATTAATTTAATCCAACCATATTAAAGGATTGTTTTATAAAAATTGAGATAAATACCACTTTCTTGGAACATACTTATGTAATAATGATGTCAGAGAAAAAGAATCTTTTGTAACATAGTTTTGGATCGATCATGATGCCTTCCTATCTCCTCTGTGTTATAGTACCTTATGTTTGTCAAAAGCAGACAGAAGTTAGCTCTTTTTAATCCTTTAGAAAATGCCGTGCTCTTAAAAATTAAGAACATTAAAGAACAGGTAATCATAACATTTCATAATCACTGGAAAGCAAAAGAAGACCTTGTTGTAGCCCACTAAAAATATCAGATTGCTTTTATTAATGAAGCGTAATCAGTAGCTGTATTGAAACTTATATCTATAGGAAAAAATTAACAAAGTGCTCAGAAGAGAAGGGATTAGATCCCATGCCTTTTGTGTGAAAAGAGCTAATTAAATTACGTAGTGGCTCTCCCTTTCTCTGGCACACCTAATGCTTACTTATGTCACAAAAAATCTGGAGCAAGAGAGAGAAGTAGCTCATCATATTTGTCCTTTCTGCAACAAATGATTATTTCTAAGTCCAGTCAAGGTAGGCCAAGTCTGGGAACCTTGGGAGAAAGAGTGAAGGGGAAAGAGTAAAGGATAACTGGTGAGCTGTTGATGCATTTCAAGGTTGCATCTGCGTTTTTCTAACTCAAGGATTAGCGAAGAGCCGAGACTGATTTTGTTAATCTCAGTTTTGGGAGCAAGTGGGAGGAGTGTGTAAAAGCTCTTTTTAATTCTAACACTTAAGAGAGTAGTTGATTTTTTTCATGACATTTAGTTTGTTGATCCAGACGTTTTCTTTTCTTCTGTGTTAACATCCCGGTATATATGGCCAGAACTCTTTAAAGTAAGATGTATGTAATTAGTATCCCAACTATGATCTGGAGAAGTTAGAGTTTCAGATAAGGCAAACTAAAATCGGAAAATCCCATACATAAATGTGCCATGCAGCTTTGGCTTTGACCTTTTTACATATGGCAGATGATAATTAGGATATATAACTATGATTTACATTGATGATATTACATTTTTCACTTCGCACATTTACATCCAACTATGCTTACATGTATTTAATTAGTGATCCATTGTAGCAGTTTTATGTTTTTCATAACTCTTCTCTAAGATGCACATTGTAATAGGTTTTTGATTGTTCCACATGTAATTGTTTTGCTCACATAAAAACTGTAAAGAATCTTCAACTATTATTATGTACATTAAAGCAGCAAAAAAAAGAGACTAATTCTCTCCAAACTTTCTTTGAAATATAGATGTTCTGGAATTTTTGTTTTCATACAGTGGCCCTCACTTAAGAAAAGTCCTCTGGATTTCTTTCATTCCTTCTACAACACTGTAAGATTTCTATGGTCACTGCAGCAACTGGCTGGTCAAAAATAGTCACTGAGGGTTTTTGGTTGTGGATTGTTGGGTTTTTTTTGGTCTTTGTTTTTTAAGGAACTCAACTCACAATTTAAACACAAGGAGATCAGGATCAGCGTAAGTTGTATCTGCTCCTATAGGACCACTAATAATACACCGAAGTCCATCACTGGTTCATAGACAAGAATTTACAAATATTTATTTTATGGCGTCTTGGAAAAAATTCTTGAGGTTCCTCAGTTGCACGTAATAAATCTGGCATGCCTGCAGATGAAGTATTCAAAGAAGGTAAAGTAGATGAAATAAAGTATTCAAGATCCTTCTGGAGTCATTTCTGATCCCCTGTTGTCTGCATAGATGTGATGGAAAGAAAATCTTTTCTTCTAAAGGTAGACCTTTATAATTGTCACATTTCTCTTAGATGAAGATTACAGAATCTCAGAATATACTGAGTTGGAAGGGACCCATAAGGATGGTCAAGTCCAACCCTTAGCCCTTCACAGGACCATCCCCAAGAGTTACACCAGGTGCGGGAGAGCATAACCCAAAAACTTCTTTAACTCTCTCAGGCTTGTTATGCCATCTGGTTAACTTTAAATGTTAACCTTTAAATTTGTTTTGTTATTGTTGTTTTCTCTGAGGAGATCTCTTAAGCTTTTCTGTTTAATAGATATCCTATAATAACACCTTCCTTCAACATGCTTATACCATGTAGCTCTGTGGTTAACAATGTTCTCTAATAATTCATAGTTCTTGTGATTGAATCTTTTAATTTAAATAATCTCTTCTTGCTCATATTGAAGGATCTGCCTTTTTCTAAGGCATTAATTGTATCATATGTTTGAATATTCAGTTGTATCTTACTGCACTTCTATGTCTGTCTCCACAGTTTGATTATGATGATGTGCCTTCTAGATATAGTGGAAAACAGTTGTAATATTTATGCTCTCTAAATATAATCTCAGTTTTCCTTCTGCACTAAATTAGCTGAGGTTTCTTAATAAATTGTCAAAGTTGCTAACTTGTGACTATTATCTGTCATTTAACTTCTGAGTAATAATTGATATTAATTATTGAGTTTCAATAAATATGGGGGAAGGTAGGCAAAATCTTGATTAAATGTCTCTGAATAATTCCAAACATCGGATATAGACTATGGTTGCTGATGTTTTTCTCAAAGAAGGTCACAAAATAGCATAGAAAAGTAATGTAATTTTTAATGGAGTGAACACAACTGAAATATATTTTTGGGGCTTCACTTAGAAAAAATGCAGGCTTCAAGTGGCTCTTGAGCTGTGTGGTAAGAACATTTATTTATGAGTTTCTGTGGAAATTTTATTGATTTTTTTTTTTTGTTCAACTGTTCTTACATCTTTTAAAAATGTCTTTCAGCACTGAAGAGTTATTTTCTTTCTCTCCTCTTATGTTTGCAAGTTTGTAACTATGCTTCTTCAAGAGTCAGACTGCCAGAATCTCTCCTGATGCAGTCAGCATCTGAGGCACAATTTATAGCTGTTATATTTTATCCAAATGCTTCACTCTCTGAATAAGCCCAGAAGACTTTAAAATTATATGGTATCATTTAGGGTGTGCTCCCCTGTTTGTAAATGAGGATGAAGTGGACACATAGAACAAAAGTCTTTATCGTGTCCCTCTTCTGTTAAGTAGCCCAAAAGAGCAGCCTTGTTTTTGTTACAATCCACCCATGCTTTCTTGAAGATTGTTTCTCTTCTGGTTTGGAAAAGTATATTCCAATTTACTCTTTCACATGATGGGGGAAGTCCCATCGTCCAAATGGAGTTGTTACAACAGTTGCAACCCTGAAGCTCCAACCATGTGTATACTGCAGGTGATCTCTGCTCCAATATGGACCTGGTTTTCCATTTCTTCGTTGGTTTAATGACTTTTGGATGACTTGGCTCCAAAGAACCTAGTTTTATGGAACCAAAAGTACCTTATTTTTATTCCTGTTTACTAATAAGTGTTTTCATAGTGTGGTATGTGAATGAGGATTTCTAGTTATTAGCATGATACATTCATCCCCTTCTTTCAATGTGGGACAAGTTAGATTAGATTTATCATGAAATGTTCTTTGTGATCTGAGCAACACAGTGCTAGTGGAATCAGTGGCTATGGAAAAAGTGTGCCAGAATGTTAAATGCTAGATCCTTAATGAAAAATCAGTTATTTACAAGATAGTCTATGTTTAGCCATCCTGAAAACTATGTAATTCTTTCAGTTATGGAACGCTGATAGCTTCCAAACCTGAAGTCATGTGAAATGTGGCAATCAAGGATTTGAGTGCTCATGTGCTAGATCAAGATGGCAATTATGTATATAATCAGGGGTATGTACTGTCTTTGGAAAACCTGAAATTTCATCTTGTAGAGAGAAGATTCTGAATGTTGTTTCTTGTGATAATGAAAGTCCATCGTTGCAGCGCACTTGAAGCCTACATCCTTCAGTGTTGCCCTCACAAAGCATCTGAGAATATTTCAGAGGTCACTGTGGTACAGCCCAGGGAATAAAAGTCTGTGTTTGCTGTAACAGGGTGCTGTAATCACATGCCTGGTGACTGTAGGAACTTTCGTTAAGTCCTAGACACTGGAGCCTTTAGGTTTTTCTCTTACATTCTCTTGAAATAGTTACCCCCCTGTAATCACATGGAATTCAGTCCAGTTCAGTGTGACAGTCTTGCTGAAGTTTAAGATAAATTTTTACAGGGAAAAGAAAAAACATTTGGCAAATTTTCCATCCTCTCAGAGAAGGACCTTGCTGATTTTTGTCTTTAAATGGAGAGAGCTATGCTTGCTTGCTGAATGCTATATTTATTCATGCAAAAAGGCTAGAGAGTTATTAGAATAATTTTAAAAAGTAGAGGTAAATTGATGTCTGATGCAACCACTGGAAGAGCTCAGGGCCTTCTAGTTTTCTGTGTAATTATCTTTAATTAAATATTATAAGGAGAAATTAGTGAATGAATGAAAATGGATAGTGGATGTGAAACAATTGTGGGTTTTCTGAGGAAAAACTTTATGATATCTATTAGACATACTGTTCTGTACTCAGCCAAATAACTGTGTAGGTTGGGCCTGATAAATGTA